ACCTCAGCCAAAGCGCATTCCCTGGGGAAGCGCTGCCATCCCAGAGGCGCTTTCTGCTCCCAGCGGTGCTAGAGGGGCTGGGGCTCTCGCAGCCAGTGTGTCTGTGACTCCAGGCAAATAAAGAGAAGCAAGAAGCTGCAGCAGTCGGTTTCTTTTCCTCTCTATCCCATTACCCTGTTTTACCTCTGGAGCTTGTTGACAGATTTCCACAGGGACCATAGCACCTCCAGGAGGCAGGGAAGGCTTTCCAGCAGCAGAGATACTGGAGCCCCCAGCAGCTGAGGCCAAGGCTGTGCCTGCCCCAGCCCAGCCGCCCCCTCTGGTCTGTGGTGGGAGGGTCGATGGCAGCGGGGAAGGGAAGCAAGATCAACCCTCCCCAGGCTTCACACATCTAACTTCAGGCATTGTGGTTCCTTCATTCCCCTCCAGAGAGGTACACAAAACCCTGGATGGACTCCTGAAAAGCCTCCCTCCACTACCCAACCAAGGCCAGCCTTGGGAAGAGGCTGTTTATCCTCCAGCCATGGGAGAAGCTGTGTCCGTGCCTGAACCTCAGCCCCCGAGCCAGGCTATTCTGGTAGCAACAGATCTCGCTGGTGGGCAGGGAGGGAGCATCGAGCTTTACGTGGCCTTGATTCTCAACTACTCTTCTACAAAGAATTTGGGAAGCTAATCTTTAAGTCCTTCCTGGGTATCTAATTTTTGGGGCATTCCCTATAAAATCCCGAGGCTGCATTGCTTTGGCAGGGCTGTCGGCATGCCCGTACCTTGCTGAGGCTGGGAGGAAAGGGGGCTGCTCTCCGAAATGCCAGGGGTGCTTCCTCCCGCTGCTGTGAGTCAGACAAGGTGAATCCCAGGATAACGGGAGGGCTGTGGAGAAACGAGCGCTCATCATTCTTCTCACCGTGCTCAGCTGCGGCCTCGCTGGCATCACACCCCAAAACAGGGCTCCTCGGGGGGTAGACTCCGTGCTGCCGGGACCGGAGGGCGATGAACACGGCTCCAGCGGATCAAAACACCCAGCAGCTACGTGCATCCTCGACAACATCCAGCCACGCTCCTGCGCAACACCACGCTTCCAGGGCCGACAGCATTTCCTGGCACACCCCCAGCCCTGGCCACAGCCACTCGGCCGTGACCTTTGCAGAACAGCTCCCAGCTCTGGCTTCAGCCAAGGCCCACGGACCACAAACCAGCACAGCTGGATGCTGCCACGGCAACAGGACATTGACAGTGTGGGCACCGGCCATGGGAAATGGGAGTTTTTGGGTTAGGGTGGGCTGGGACCCCGTGGGGATGCTTTGAGGGGGCAAAAAATACAGTGGATCTGGGGACAGGGCGAGACCCAGCTGGGGCAACGAAACTGTGAGACAGAGAGCAGGGGTGGAGCAGTGGGGTGGGAGGGCTGAGGGCCAAGGGGACTCTCGTACGCTTCCTCCAGCCCCAGGACATCGCTCCCTTAACCACAGAAGGGCAAACCTAGAACAGGAGGTATTTTTTCCTCCTCCTTCCAAGTAATCAGCCTTCCTTCCCCTGCCAGCAGCTGGCACACGGTGGGTGCAGCTTAACCTGCACCGTGAGGCTCAGAGGAAAAACTATTTGGATCCTTCCCAGCTCCACAGCCCTTCCAGCCACAGAAAATACCTTCCCAGGAATGCGATACACGCCTGATAAGCTGGTTTTAGAACAGGATGGGGATAGGTTTTAAAGCTGCCCTTTGGCTCAGGATGTGCTTAAGCGGCACCAGGTAATTTGTTATGACGAGGATTTTTATCAGTTTAGCAGCTCCAAAGCTGTAGCGCACCAGCTGTGCAAAGCCTCTGCCTTCCCAAATCCCATCAGCCTTCCGGCCCCACAGAACAGCTGCTTGAGATGAAGAGGGAACAGAAGAGGAATTGGGTTAGGAGGACACACACCGCCCTCATTCCCAACTCAGAGCTGCGTCACAGCCTGGTGACAAGCGCATTTACCAGCCACCCGGCCTCCCGCTTCACGGCACATGGCAACTCCCAAGGAGCTGGATCCGGGCTTTCCCTCTGCCTGCCTCCACTGCAGGAGCTACCGCACCACCGCTGCTTGTCACACCGCGGTCCTTCCCTGCCATCAGGTGTGGCTTAACCTCTCCTCCCTGGCACTCAGTGGACAGGGACTCGGCACCGCAGGGCGGCAAGGCGTGCCCGTTTCCCTGAGAAACCAAAGGCAGCCATGCATTTTTTGGGAAGCACGGTGCAGACGCACCTCCCTTGCGGCTTGCTGGGGAGACAAACAGAAGATAACCCTAAAAACCTTTGAGCTGACACTCTCCTGCAGCAGGCTGAAGGGGACGTCCCCTCAGCAGCTCCGCCACGCAGAGAAGCCCACAAGACCGATAGGAGCACGTCCCCCACTCAATGGGCACGTCTGCACATCGCAGTTGGACATCCCAGTTAACCCAGAGCACAGACGGGATGGCACGCAATCCCCCACAAGCCCATCAGCCCAACAGCAAGGCAGTGCTCATCCCGCTTCTCGGCGCCTGCTTTTCCAAGCAGCATCCTGGCACCTGTAGGCAGTTGCCACACGCAGTCCGCTCTGTGCTCATCCCAGTGTTCCCAGCCTCAGCGCAAGGCAGCAGCTGGAAAAGAGCCATTTTCACTCCCACATCTCAGCTGCGCTCCATTTTAAGCACTTTAAAACACTGGAAGGGGGAGCCAGGGATGTTGGGTGCTGCAGAGTCCCAGGATCACGGCCCACATCCAGCGTGCTCCACCCAGAAGCAAACGTCTCAACCTAAGCAAGTGGCTGCTCTCCCCTCCTTCCCAGGCTCTTTGTTAAAAACAAGGATGCAACAGGAGGGGTAAGAGAACATCCTCACCAACCCCACGTACAAATCCTCTGCAGGGGTGTGCTGGATTCAGCCAGGAAAGAGTTAACCCTCTTTACGGTGGCTGCTAGCAAGCTGTTCCTGGATGCAGAGAGCAGCACTGATCAGTTCTCAGCTGGCGCTGGGCAATGCCTGCACTGAATTCAAGGTCTTTCTCCCCTTCTGATCCTGCAGCTGCGTTCCCAGCTCTCGCTGTCTCGCTACAGGCAGTGCTGGGACACACAGTTCAGGCACCTGACCCCCACTGACCAAGGGAGTATTTCATCCCATAGTACGTCATGCGGGGGGCAGAGGCGAGGAGGGGGTCCGGGAGCCATCACTCTCTCCCTCGCTCTCTCTCGTTCACTCCCGTACACTTGCTGACACTCTCCCGACTCCTGCGTTAGCTGCTTCCCTGACTCCAGTGCTGGCTCGTTCGTGAGGGGGTTGGAGGGTCAGATGGATTTACTGGCCGTGCTGTCGCTCGTGGGGTCGCTCAGACTGTGCTGCGATCGCCCTCTGGCTTCCACTCGCACTACTCAGGACCTGGCTGTGCCTTGGTCAGTGGGTAATGAACAACTCTATCATGTTTTATTTTCTATTATTTTAATTACTTATTATTGAGTATTGTAATATATTCATTTCTAGTCAATTAGTAAATAGCTCTTATCTCAATTTTACAAGCTCCATTGTCTTTTCCTCCAATTCTCCCTCCACTGGAGTAGGGGGAAGGTAAGCGAGCAGCTTCATGGTATCTTACTGCTAGGCGTGAGAACTGGCTCACAGTGACCTTATTTAGGCTTTGAACCAGCCTCCCTGCCCTGCTGGCTGAAGAACAAGCAGCATGAATTTATGTTGCTCACATTACACCAAAATTGTGGCTCTAGCCAGAAGCGCAGCTGTGCTCCAGACTCCTTCCTGGGAAAACTGAAAGGAAGTAGGTGTGTAAATGAAGTTCCCACAGAACTAAAACAGGGTGTTAAAAGCAGGCAGGAACCCCTGAGATAACTCGGGCACACTCCGCTCCCACCTCCAGGCAGTATCTCCCTCCTCCCAGCCTGCCACCGCATCTATCTCAGCCCTGCAGAAACCCAGCTCCACCTCAGCCCTCCGGCACCGGAGCCAGAGCTTGGCACAAGACCGGGAAGATGCCAAAACTCTGCCGAGTCCTTGGAAGAGCAAATGGGTCCTGCCCTCCCCTTTCAGAAACCTGCGTCTCCAAGGCAACCTCTCTGGCCAGGCAACACACAGCACAGCCCCCCTGTCCCACTGGGGCCCGGTGAAGGCGCTCGTGTTCCTCCATTCAATCCCGACTGCCAGGTCAGACAGGCAGAAAGTGCGAGGAACCCGTCACTGTTACGCCTCAGCGAGAACCAGGGAAGCAACGGCTGTTTGCTCCAGGTCTGTCACGCAGATGCATTTCCCAAAGAGGAACAGGGAACATGGAGTTACACCCCCTAAGGGGAGCCCAGACATCCACCTGCTTTGCAAGGGGCTTAGGACATGTCTCTCCCCAGGTGCAGAGAAACCCCAAATCCTGAAACTCCACCAGGTTACAATGAATCTAGAGCAGCTGTCAAGTGCAGAGGAGCTAGGCCACAGCCAGGCTGTGCTGGAAAACCTAGCGACTCCACTCCCTTCCCACAACATTCCCAGTGCCTGGGCTCACAGGGAGCCCATCCTCCTACCTTAATCCTGAAGTCACACTACAACCGAGGCCCGGCTCGAGCATCCTTGTCTGACAGAGCAGCTGGAGTAGCACATATTCCATTCTGGGCTGGGTTCTAATAATCAATTCTGCGGTCTCTTCCAGAGATCAGGCCCTGTGCAAGACGAAGGTGGTCCACTCCGTTACCACGGCATCTCTCGGGCTTTGCCTTACTGACCTCAGCCTGCTCTTGCACGCTGACGCCGCAGGCAGGGACCGCGTCAAGTCCGGAGACGGCCCTAGGACCAGGCCACGCGACTGACAGCACCAGATCCTCGGACAAGCACCTCGCTGCAACCTCTCCTGCAAGTCACCCTAAGAAACACACCCGACCAAGAGGCATCACCTAGAATGGGTTTACATGAGTTTTATTTTAGACAATCTACAAGACAAGATGTTTGGGGGTTGGTTTGTTTTTTTTTTTTTTAAAACAAATGCCTCCACTCCAAATCAGGGTCAAAATAAGTGAATAAAGCTCAAGATGACATCAGTCCAGTTGTTAGCCATTGCCAATTCCCGGTGTTGTGCCGATGAAGAAGAAACAGCAGCCAGCTATGAAGAGAAGTGATCCAAAACCATACCGTGTCCCATTTGTTACTGAAACGAGAGCGGCAGAGCGTTCGTTAGCGCGAGGCCTCGACAGCCAGGGGACGGCACGGCACCTCGTGTATTCCCTCATTCAATCTGAGCTGCCACAGGCAGGCAGGCAGAAAGCGCAAGGAGGTTATTTTTGCATCTTGATGCAAACCAGAGAGCAACAGGGGGAGTGCTCGTGGTCTATCAGAGGATGCTGATCATTTTTAGGATGACACAGAGCAACTGGCATCAGCTGCTGAGCCAACCCAGCGGAATACTCACTCTCCACGTTTCAGATTTCCTCCCAAATGGGGGCACATCCTCACCAAGTACGGAAGCTCACAGCGCATGTCCTGTCTCTTACAAGCAGCTGGAAGGATTTTCCCTACTGGAACACCCTGCTACTATTCTTACAGTCCATCTTGAAGCAGCTGGAGTTGCCCCAGTTACAGATCCAAAAGGCCGGATGGAGTGGAGGGGGATGCCCAGGAGCTCCTGCTCCGAGGAGGCACCTTCTGGGTGACGCCTGCTGTAGGGCCCAGGCCAGGTGTCACCCTTCAGCCAAGCTACGGAGGGTGGCATGCCGCTTCGGCCAAGAATTTGTTCCCCCAGCTGGGCTGCTGCCCTGCACCAGAACTCGGCTCAACTTGACGTGACTCATGTACCAAAAGGCCTGTAAGAGGCTTCACAGATAAATTTAGCTGGCTACAAACAGACTTCCTAAATCCACAGTGACTGGGCACAGCCAGGGGTGATCCCACACGGCTGGTCTCCAGCGAGTTCCATAGCTCCCCAAATAAGCCAAAGAAACGCAAGTGTTGGGATCCGAACACTGCTTCGCTGGAACCACATTCCAATATGGAATGGTTAGAGAGAGCAGGCCACAGCTGTCTGAGCTCAGGCAGTTGGAGATTCCAGACAGAACAAGGTTAAGCACTCGGTCAAGTATGACCATGTTCCCAGATTTAGGGAAATACTTCAGCAGACACTTCTTGGGCAACACAAAGGCATCAGGTTAAGTGGGAAAAGATGGAGCGTGACCATGTAAGGCACTGCAGAACCAACCCCGCTAGAGGGATCCAAAGGCTTCAGAGGACATTGTTACAACTGCTGCCGGTCACACCCATCTCACCCAGGGAACTCCTTCCTCGGGCATTTCTCAGCCATCAGGTCACCCCGAACCCCCTGACCCACTGCACTGAGGCCAGGTCCCCTTTTGCCCTAACTGAAGGGTGCACAGGGGGAGCTTCAGCCGCTTCCTACGACATGAAGCAGCAGTTCAGCTGTACGTCCGTGAACCTGGCAACAACACAATTTGGGTCAGAACTTACACATTTCTCAATTTCCAAGCCATCCTTGAAGAAAATCATATATGGGGTCACACCATCCTCACGGAAATCCAGGAGAGCCACCATACCATCTGGATTCATGTTCTCTCCTACAAAGAACTTCAGAGAAATGCGTTACTGAGACATTTAGTGAGCTATTGCCCAGAGAAAATGCCTTTCTACACGTGAAAATGGAATGTGGAGATTGTGCTGGGTTCAGTCAGGAAAGAGTTAACGTGGCTGCTAGGAAGCTGTTCCTGGATGCAGAGAGCAGCACTGATCAGTCCTCAGCTGGTGCTGGGCAATGCCTGCACTGAATTCAAGGTCTTTCTCCCCTTCTGATCCTGCAGCTGCGTTCCCAGCTCTCGCTGTCTCGCTACAGGCAGTGCTGGGACACACAGTTCAGGCACCTGACCCCAACTGACCAAGGGAGTATTTCATCCCATAGTAC